CGTTCTGTAAAAATGAGAATCGCTAAAAATCGAGATATCGATATTTTTTTACCCAGCCCTAACAATTATACTGTAAAAAAAAACTAATTCAGTGTATAGTATTTATAAAATATTCGCATTCAAGTGAAATGTTACCCAAATTATTTACACTTTTTACACTATTTTCCTGTAACTTTCACTCCCTCTTGCAGTTTGAAAACCACTTGTGTAGCTAACTATTTTTTCCAAATAAGTATATTGAACATAGTTTAACAGCTAGTCTATGCTATTTGTACATTGCAACTTTCAAAGCTAAAGATTCAGTGTTTCTTCCCTAGCAGTTATGAAGACTGCAGTAGTTTTCGTTTCTTTGCCTGGAGGCAACATTTCTAAAACTGTGATCTGCAGGTCCCATACGACTTACACAGTCACTCATACAGTACAAACGCTGATCAGGCCCTGTATCGGGCATCATGCCAGAGCTGTGCCTCTTCAGATATCTGCCTCTTAATGGTGTTTTAAGAGAAGCTAATGACAAATGGAAGGTGTTAAAGCAATTGCAACTGTGGATAAAGGGAATGATAGCTCTCTTTCTGTTTTCAGAGCATATGCTTCCTATTAAGTTATGTAGGCCTATTCATAAAAAAACATACCGTGATAGAGAAAGAAAAAGAGAAAGAAAAGTATTTTTGTCTTTTGCAAGTCCTGTGATCCCCTAAATCTTATTATATGGGTGTACAGACTTCAAACACATCAAAATCCATTTACTTGTGATGTAAAGGCTAGAAATTGAGAGTAGGGCTGTGCGATTAATCGAAATCGACATAAAATCGCGATTTGAGCTTGTGCGATTTTTTCCGCGCTCCCGGCCTCCCGCAGTATGCTATTCAAACCAATCCGAATGCAGCGCGCCTAAATGGAGCACGAGAACAGAACAGACCGGGCACTGCACACGATTGCGGTCCGGCAGTGCGTTCCAGCTGCGGCGCGTTACGGCTCTGACGCGGCTACCGGAACTGATCGCGGTCATTCTAATCAATGCTTGTGTTTACACCAGATGCGCCGTGGCACGTTTCAAAAGCGTCCCAGGAGCGGCTCTCTGCGCCGCTTCACTAAAGATAGGCGCCTAGTCTATTTTTGACGGACGCCGCGTCCAAACCGCACAGCAAATACATAATAAAAGTTAAAAAAATCATGTAAATTTCAAAATAAACACCTTGTGCAGACTCCCGATCGTATTTCACGGTCACATATCTTTGGCAGGAGGCCAGAAATGGACGACGACGAGTGGTTCATCCTCGAAATACAAAAACACATGGTGTTATATGACATCACAAATCCTTTTTACAAGGACAATGAGCAAGTAAACAACATCTGACAGGCAAATCACGTGGTCTTGCGAATCCTACAGCTGCACTTCTGATCCGCTTCTGGTGTGAGTTGGCACCGCGTGGAGGACGTAACAAAACCTCTTTGGAGCTGTAACGAGCCGCAGACGTGTGCAGTGTAACCCCTGAGTTACACTGCACACGTCTGCGGCGCGTTACGGCTCCGACGCGGCTACCGGAACTGATCGCGGTCATTCTAGTCAATGCTTGTGTTTACACCAGACGCACCGCGGCACGTTTCAGAAGCGTCCCAGAAGCGGCTCTCCGCGCTACTTCGCTAAAGATAGGCACCTAGTCTATTTTTGACGGACGCTGCGTCCAAACCGCACAGCAAATGCAAAATAAAAGTCACAAAATCATGTCAATTTCAAAATAAACACCCTGTGCAGACTCTCGATCGTATTTCACGGTCACATATCTTCGGCATCCTTGAAATACAAAAACACATGGTGTTATATGACATCACAAATCCTTTTTACAAGGACAATGAGCAAGCAAACAACATCTGACAGGCAAATCACGTGGTCTTGCGAATCCTACCACTGCACTTCTGATCTGCTTCTGGTGTGAGTTGGCATGCGGTTGCGGTCCATCAGTGCGTTCCAGGTGCGGCACGTCTGCAGCAGTGCAGCGATCGTTTACGCACGAGTCTATTTTTGCTGTGCTGCACGTGCTGAATTAAAGTGACAGCGCATTGTTCGCTGTAAAAATGAACATCGATTGACACGGAAATTTAGTAATTTCACAATAAATAGATATAATTAAAGTCTACTGTGTTTCACATGCTTTTTGGCTAGGTTTGAAACAAATAAAAGTGCACTTTTAGATAAACAAGGCAACATATGAACTTGTGTCTTGTGGAGGTAGAAAAACAAAGTTCTTTAAGACCCGCGGGACTGTTTGTAATAAAGATTTAAATGTAAAAGGCACGAAATCCGACTGTTTCTGTCAGGGGTACGTTTTAATATTTGTAAAGTATTTGTGATAACCTAACACAAGAAAGCTATATGCTGTGTTCAAATGTGTTTCCACTTGCTTGAGCAACTTAATATACAAATCTAGAAGCCAAATGGATTTAATATACGCTGTTTAAATTAATTGAGTTTAAACGTGAATATGTCTGAAATATTGTGTAACTGTACTGTGATAAAAGAGGATTACAATGCTGAAAAACACTTTCAGTATAGGCTAACTATGTTTCGATTTGAAATCAAAATAATGGATAAATGTTGTGTTTGGGTTAAACAGGTGCGGATCATGAGCGGACTGCAAACGCGTCCTGTGTGAAAGCACAATGAGTCCGTGCTGCTTCTGCACCACATACGTAACGCACTCGGACCGCATACGCACTGCAGACGGAGTATGTGTGAAACAGGCGTATTTCTGCTGTGCTGCACGCGCTGAATTAAAGTGACAGCGTATTATTCGCAGTAAAAATTAACATGGATTGACACGGAAATTGAGTAATTACACCATAAATGCATATAACTAAAGTCAACTGTTTCACAGTCAACACATGGCTTTTTTGCTAGATTTAAAACAAGGAAAAGTGCACTTTTAGATAAACAAGGCAATAATAGATGGCACTCGTGGTGGTAGTTAAACAAAGTTATATTTATTGAGTTTAAACGTGAATATGTCTATGAAAGATTGTATTACTGTACTGTGATAAAAGAGAATCACAATGCTGAAAAAGCATTTTCAGAAACAACGTTTGGATTTGAAATCAAAATATTGGATAAATGTTGTGTTTGTGGTAAACAGCCGCGGAGCAGGACCGGACTGCAAACGCGTCCTGTGCGAGAGCAAAATGAGTCCGTGCTGCTTCTGCACCGCGTACACATACTGTATAGGTACTGGAGACAGAGTACGTGTAAACTTGGCACAACAAATCTAGTTCAACATCTGAG